GAATCAGAAACAAACAACCCCTTAGATTTTGAATCTTTGATGCTTCCCCTAATTTGTGACACTGCCATTTTTAACATAGGGCAAGGCAAGTTCCATGGTTGCATTAGCTCTTGGGCCCAAACCAGAATGGGAGGTAAATTAATTAGAAAGGATGATATAGTTTTTCCAGTGATTTAAATTGCAATTACTTAAATCAAACTGTGCTTCTGAAGGTCATTGATGCCTGCGCGGCTCCAGGAAACAAAACAGTTCACCTAGCCGCTCTTATGAAGGGAAAGGGGAAGATTATAGCTTGTGAACTCAATAAAGAAAGGGTTCAACGCCTGGAAGATAATGTTAAACTGGCTGGGGCCACTAGTATCCTTTGAAGTTCTTTCTGATGCTTCTGCATTTCTGAACTGGTAGTAAACAGATAGATTTGACAAGTTCTCATTTGATATCTATGCCCTTTCCTTTTTATATGTATATTTTTACATGTTTTGATGATTTGGAAGTCCTAAGTGACTGTTGCTACGTATTTGTTGTCTTTGTTCCAATGCTGTCTAAAACCCTTGATAGTATATTATGCTAACTGATTGCTATATCTTCCCAACTTGTGTATTGAATTTGTTATAATATAATAACTATACTTAACTGAGCCTAGATGTGAAAGTTAAGCATGATGACTTCTTGAACCTTAATCCTGAAGATCCTTCATATTCAAAGGTATCGTATTTGGATCTTATTTTTATTGACCTCTCTCCCCTATCCACTGCTCTCTCCTCTCTCCCCTTCTTTATATGTTTGCTTGATCATGATCAATAAGTATGATGAAAGTGAAATTTCTGGTGGAAAAAAACTGTAAATTAAAAAAGAAAAGTTACTGAGAATCCATCTGATGTCCTGTGGAGCATTTGGACAATGTTACGCTGCTAAATGTTAGATGGAAGAAAACTATGGAATTGAAGACTGGATTACTTGTTCTATTTGTGAATAACAACTGCAATAATGACTGACTGACTGAGAATATCAGGACAGATGATCAAGTAAAGAGGATGGTTTGACTATGATGCTTCTTTAGGGGTGTATGATCTTCAAATAAAAGAAGAAAAGCAACAGTTCTTCTTTGAGATGCTAGTAGACTGGCAAATGCTTGAAAACTCTTCCTACTAATATGGGTGACAATGAAAAGAAGCCAATGATGCACTAGTACTTGTCTACTTGATATATTTCCTGGCCTTTTAAGTTGCATCCTAACTCTGCTTACTGGCTAGATATTTTTACCCTCCCCCCAATTTTTAAGGGGTCAATTTTTAGATGACTGTAGAACTTTTTTCCCCTTAGAAAATATTTTCAAATAGCATTAAGAACATAAAGCCTCTTCTTCTCTTCCCAGCTACCATGTTTTTCATATGAAACCATTTAATACTTTTACGTGCCACCATAAATTTTGCTGTCCCAGTATGCCATCACTTCTACGCCCTTTCTCCAGTTAGGGACATATTTAATACTTATTTTTCACTCATGGAATTTGATTTAGTGAAACGAGATCTGTAATCTCTCTTTCTCTAGAGTTGCTTTAACATTTGGATATATTATTGCTCACAAATAAAACTCTTCTTCCAGGTTTGTGGTATACTTTTAGATCCATCATGTTCTGGATCTGGGACTGTTGTCGATAGATTAGATCATTTGCTCCCATCATATAGTGCAGGTGACTTTTTTTGGTCTCCTCTGTTCTTAGTTGTTCCCTGTTATATTCATGCAACATATCTTTTAACTTTTGCCTTATCACCAATTGTAAATATTTCGCATTCACCTTTGCATGTAACTGGAAATACCGCTTTTCATAAAAGGGTGTAGACATTAGGGAAAAAAAAAGGACTGGGTCGATTCCAAATCATTAACCTACTTAACTCTATTAAAATGGAAGTCTACTAAGGCCCTCTTTAAAAAATTCCAAACATAAAAGCCCATGGAAGAGGCCCATCATACTTTTCAAAATCCATAATTATCTAATTATTATTTTTTAATTAAAGATAATTTTGTGGTTATGAGAAGTGGTTATCAACTTTTTCTATAAATAGGACCAAAAGTTCCATAAAGTATCACGAGAAAATGTGCGCGAGAAAAATCACAAGTGCACGAGAAATTATAGAGTCTGCAGGAGAAAAAAATCTCAAGACCAAGTCCGGAAAACACCAAGAAGATCAAAATTCTTCAAATTAAAGCAAGTCCATGATAAATTCAAAGATCAAAGTCTTCTTTAAATCAAAGCAAATTTAAGTCCAAGTCTCGAAATCCAAGCGTCAAACAAGCCAAATCCTCTACAAGTTAAATCTAAAACAACCTTAAAGTCCTTTATTCTATTCCGGTGCAAGGTTGAGGGGAGGATTTGATTAGTTGGGG